CCCCAAAACCCCAAAACCCCACCATTTAAAATAAGTTGATGAGAGCGCAATAAAATTTCTTAAATCTTTATTACTCAAAATATAATGGATCAAACCAACCCCCAAAATAACTCTGCTAATATCTATGATCCTGAGAAGTAGCCTTTAGTAGGAGGAGAATGGCATCACGATGAAGCTAGACCAGATTATGTACCAGCTCCTGATACAATTCCAAATCGTCAAATTGCAATGTCTTTGACAAAAGGCATTTTAAAGAAGCTTAATGAAGCTGGATCTCTCTACGAAGGAGAAAGAAATCTTAGAGGACTAAGACACGGTCAAGGAAAGTGTTCATTCCTTGATGGCTCATATTACATTGGTTCATGGGTCGATGATAAAAGGGAAGGCAAGGGAGAGTATCACAGCCGCGATGGTTTCATCTATAATGGCGATTGGGTGAATGATATGAAGCACGGTGAAGGCTAACTCACAAAGTAAGATTCTAAGGAAATCCTTTATTGCACTTTTATCAATGACAAGAGACACGGTTACGGTCATAAAATGATTGATGGGTCTAAGACTGAGGTTTTTTTCTACAATGATACTGAAGTTTCGCTCTAAGACTAAAATCCTGATTATTTCCTCGGATCATTGGAAAATCTGTTTTTACTTATTGCCGCTTGTTTCGTGGCTTTCCTTGCTGAGTACTGCTACGAGTCAAAGGCCCTTTATATATTGGCTGCTATTTTTTATATCATAGCTATTATTTGGTCTACCTTGAGCATCAAAAAATACTTTGCACATGCTATCTCTGGAGAAGAACTTGATAATCGCATTAATGAGTTTAGAGAAAAAGCTCCTGAGTTGACTATGAACCTTGAAAATTATCACTATAATCATAAAGGGAATAGATAGCAAACTTCAATTTGCTAAGAAAAATTGATTATCGGCGAATACATCGATTAATCCCCTAATCCAGATTCAATCGCCTTTGTCAAGGAAACTAGAATTACGAGATTAGATTTTAAAACTAAAGTTGAATTTTCAGTTCCTGCAAACAAATCAAAAGGATGGCAAGAGGAAGATTTTAGAAGAAAAAGCAAAAAAGATACTCATTGTGATTTCAAACTTCTCAAAACTATTAAGGACTGCCCTGAAAATGCCATAGTTTATAATGGATCACTTCCCATTTATTGCAACCAAGTTGTTCACTTTATCTTCTCTTTATTTGCACTCTCATGGCTCATTAGAGTAATCTTTGTATTCAACTCTCAGAAAGTCAAATACAAATTCAAAAAGTATATTGTTAAATGAAGCAGCTTAGTCTGAAGTTGAGAGAGTAGTAACTACTAGGATTTCAAACCTTACTTTAAATAATAATTTAAATCATTTACTTCATAAATTCCCTTAACTCATTTAATCTTGGGGTTTTGGGGTTTTGGGGTTTTGGGGTTTTGGGG